TATACGCCCCAAATTGCAAAAAATAGCAAAAAAGATCTTCCTAACTAATTCTGAAGATTCCTCCTGTAGAGGGACAGGCCCGACTTAAAGGTAGGGCGGAAAGATCCGCCCTGCTCCTCAAGCTCCTTTGATGCCGATGTCCGCCCGGCTCTGCCGTCGCTGCTTCCGCCATGCCTCTGCGCGGAAACGTCCGCCCCACAGGGCTCGAGCTAAACAGTGTTCTCCGCTTTCGTTCTGTTTTCGTCATCCCTACCGCCGTTTGCGAAATAAACGCCCATCTTAGGGATCGAAAACAAGACGACGAAGCACGCCCCCTTTCCCCCGTATTTCAAGGTTGACGGGGAGGGCTGGGCAGTCCAACATAAGTGGGCGTTTATTTCGCAACGCTTCGCACTCCCCTTCGGCGTGTTCGGTGGCCAACACTGAAATGCGGGGCGCGGGGCGGGGCTCACGGCACTTCCACACGTGGGCGTTTATTTCGCAAACGGCGGTGGTTCTGTCCTCGCTCCACATCTGCCGCAAAACGAAGCCAAGACGAAGACGGCCCACGAGATCGCCAAAGCACCGTTTGGCTCGAGCCCCGCCGCCCCCATCTCCCCGGGGCGCACGCCTCCGCCCCGCGTGTTTGGCACCGTCGTCCGGGGCGCCTCCCCGACGCGCCGTCGAGCCGCAGGATCGGCGAGCACACGACGATCGACACAAACACGACAGGATCACGCAGCTCTGGCGCGACACGCTCGCCGGAGCGTGGGCCGATGCGCGGAGCCAGCACACGACGCATTGGCACGGACGCGTCAGACACGGCGCGTGCTGCGCTTCAAGACGGGCGCACCGAAGCGGGAGGTGCTCCAGATTTCGTAATAAAAGGGAGGGGGTCTGGACCCTCCAAGACAAGCCATTTCAGACCTCCCCCGTGGGAGAACCCTCCAAAACATCGTCCCCAGACCCCCCCCCAGGCCCTCCAAGATAGCCTGGAAGAGACCCCCCCCCGAAATGAGACCCCCCTCCCTTTATCACGAAATCTGGAGTACTGGCCGAGCTCAGGACGCCAGCGACCTTCTGCTCCGAACGCCCGCGCTGGCGTTGCCGCTGCGCCGACGCCCCCTCTGCTCCGACGCTGCCCTCCTGCTCGTGACGCTGGCCCCCGGGGCTTCGACCACCCTGACTCCGGATCCGCCCTACTTTGGCTTTTTTTCCAACTTAAAATTGCATCGGACATCCACATATAAAGGGCCGAACAAGTAGGGCGGAAATTGCTGCACCCAACATAAAATAGGGCGGAAATCCACAGAAACAACAACAGAAAAGTAGGGCGGAAATTGGCATCAGCGGGGCTTGAAAAGTAAGGCGGGAATTCCAAGCCCCACTTACGAATTTCCCCAAAGTAGGGCGGATCCGGAGTCAGGGCACTTCGCCTGGGCCGGATCTTCGTCACGAGTCGTGGTCCTCGGCAAGAGTGACCCCAGGCAAGAACGACCTCTGCTGCGCGGGCGAAGGGGGCGCAAGGTGGCCAAATCCAAGCACGCAAGCAACCGCTATCGCCTCGCGCTCAGCGGTCGGGGGAACCCAGGTGAGAGCCCGTACCAAAGGTCACTCTGGCGAAGGGTCACTCTTACGCGTAGCCGATGACGGTGTCGGAGGGTCCCGGGGCCAGGAAACGGTGTGAAAGCCCCTCCAGAGGACGGAAGCGCAGAGCGGCATGCCGTCGCGGCCACTCTCGTCGCCGAGCTCGCGGTCCGCCAGCCCCCCCCCCGTGAGAGGGGGAACGTTACGTGTCAATCGGAAGAAGTAGGTAGCAGCACGAAGCAGGAGGGCGGCTAAAGTAGATTGGGTCCAGGCCCTCCCAGAGAATAGCACAGCGCAGCAAAGGCAGATCGGTTCTTGAGGTAGGAAGGCGCTCGAAACAGATTGGAATCTGGGACCCCAAACAATATCTACCTTCCACGACCGGCTTGTCGGTGCGGGCCGCTCAGGGGCGGAACCATCGAGCCTGACTCGGCGATACATCCCCGACAGATCGGCCGTGGGCCCTCGATGGCGAAACCACACGTTCCTGGGCGGGGTCGGCGACCGGGACTCGATGCGTCAGGAGGAGGAGGAGGAGGAGGAGGAGGAGGAGGAGGAGGAGGGAGGCGGGAGGAGGAGGAGGAGAGGAGGGGGAGGAGGAGGAGGAGGAGGAGGAGGGGAGGAGGAGGAGGAGGAGGAGGAGAGGAGGAGGAGGAGGAGGAGGAGGAGGAGGAGGAGGAGGAGGAGGAGGAGGAGGAGGAGGAGGAAGGAGGAGGAGGGGAGGAGGAGGAGGAGGAGGATGAGGAGGAGGAGTTCCCACATCCCGAGCGCTGCCGCTTGGCTTTCGGGCCACAGCTCGGCTCCCCCAGCGGCCGCTCGGGACGACGCGGGCACCCCCTGGGACGCTCTCGGCAGGGCGCGGCTGCTGGAGAGCATCCCGGGGCCGCCGAAAAGCCAAGAACAACTCGAGCTCCTCCTCCTCCTCCTCCTCCTGCCTCCGCCTCCGCCTCCGCCTCCTCCGCCTCCTCCTCCTCCTCCTCATCCTCCTCCTCCTCCTCCTCCTCCTCCTCCCCGTCCTCCCCATCTAACCCCTGACCAGAGCGCAGACCCCCTCCCCTCCCCCTGTCGTTGCCCTCGATCGCCCCAGGGGTAGGAAGGAAGGAAGCAATGAAGGAAGAACGGAAGTCCGGTCCCAGGCCGGGGACGGGAGGGACGCCTCGGGTGAGCACCACGACGATTGTAGACCAACACGGTGAGGGCATTGGATAAGGAACCATGACGTAGACAAGAAGTCCAGGGTCCCGAAGCCAGTGGAAAACCAATCGTGGACTGGCCATGGATATCACCGTCGCTCTCATCAGATAAGGAGTCCTCCAGGGTCTGAAGCCTCCTGTAGAAGAATCCCAGATGGGGTCGGAGTAGATGGGGTCGGAGGATCGCGCCGCATCGCCGATGCATTACCGATGCATCGGCGATGCAGCCGCGCCGTCGGCGATGCATCGGCGCCGTCGGCGCGGAGATACGCTTACATCGAACCGTGTCGGCGATGTCACGGCCATGCGGCGCGATCCCCCGACCCCATCTACTGCAGGTTGTGTCGTGTCGACCCTGGCGTCGGTTCCTGGCTTGGCGACGCGCACAAGGGGGAGGAGGGAGGGGGGAGGGCTTCTTGGAAGGAGGCTGCTTCTTAGAAGGCGGCGGCCCTGCACCTACGGACAAGGCCCGCGCCTATTAAGAAGCAGGGGTGCTTCTCAGAAGCCCTCCCTCCTCCCCCCACGCCCCTCTGGGGATCGTTCGACCTCGAACGACCGGCCGTTGCCGGGACGTTGGCCTATGCAACGTCGACCGCTTCTGAACCACGGGGCGGCGCGCTCAACGTTGACCGACCGCAGCGGGGTCGCCGGCGATCAGCTCTGAACGCCGCCGGCGACCCAAAATCGTTGCCCTTTGTGCACTCAGCGCGTCCTCTGTCCACACCCGCCGGGGTGGAACAGCGCTCGTGGACATGTCGCGGGGGCTCCCCGGCCACTACCGTGTCACTGTTGAGCTGCACTGTCGATGCCTCGCTCTCCTAGGGGCTTTGCTGTGCTCCTGCTCGTGACCATGTGACACGCGTGCGGAGCTGCGCTGTCAATGCTGCGCTCTCCTGTGGCTTTGCTGTGCTCCTGCTGGCAACGCACACCGCCAGAGGCGGCGGAGAGCTCGAGAGGTCCACCCATAAAAAAGCGCCGTCGGCGACCCAGAGTCGGCCGACGTTGAACGATGCAGCCTTTCGGAAACGGCTGATCGTTCAAGTGAAGGGGCCCTGGGACACACAAATAAATACACACAAATAAAAGAATCCCCCATATTTTCCTACATTTTCTGGGTCTTCGTCTTCCCCCCCACTTCCCACATTCTCCCCTATTTTCCTGGGAGTGTGCGATCAATTGTGTCTGTGTGCTCTTTTCCCTCCTGAGGATCGCTCCAGACCGAACGATCCCCGCGGCGTCAGGAGCCGACGCCGGGGTCGGCACGACGCGAACCTGCCGCACCCGGACCCCGTCTGCGAGGCCCGGGTCCTGGGGACCTCTGCGCTTCCACGGGGCGCGCTCGCAGGGCGCCGGCGCGCCCCGCACAGGATGACACCTCCCAGGGGCGGAGTACAGTCAAAAAGCCCAATAAAGGACGCGCGGGAAGGACGCGAGACCCTTGGAAGCCGAAGTTGGGATTTTTTGGGGCGGCGGACGACGAAAACCACAAGGACGCAAGCGCAAGGAAGAGCAAGGACGCAAGGGTACCCTGAGCAAAGTCGCGCGTCCTTATTAGGGTTTTTGGCTGTACCCCAAAGTCTCCTGGGCACATTCCTTAACGAACGCCTCGGCGTTGTCCGACGCTGGTCGACGCTGAGCCGGCGCGGATCGACGCCGAATCGGCGATGTCTCATAGATGACCAGACGAGAACGCACGCTGATGCACTCTAGGGATGGACACGGCATCGAAATGCCATGCTTAGAGTGCATCTGGAACTGTCAAGCCTGCCACGATTTACCTCCCGGGATTTGCTACCGAACTGGAGCCTCCTGGGCACACTCCTTCACGATCGCCCCCACCAGTAAGCAGAAATGGAACGCACAAGGACATAACAGTACTATGTATTCTCCTCGGAGGCGTGCACCCGAAGCGAGCATATAGTACAACCCTCTTGCGATGCGGCCAAACAGCGCCTGCCGCGCAATATGCTGTCAGATTTCTCGGAGGGCGCGTCGCCGCTGGAGGGGCGACGCACGCATAGTATTTAGAATACGTAAAGATGGCATACACACAAACTGTTGGCGCACCGCGCGGACTTTTTTGGATCTGCGCCGGAGCCCCCTCCCTGGCGCGCGGAGCGCGCCAGGGGCGCGCCGGAGGCGCCGCCGAGGGGGCCAAGCCTACTTTTTCAACCGTCGGGGGGTAAGATGCCGGGGTGGCGCCGAAGGAAGCGCCCCCCTCCAGGAGGCCCCCCTGCGCGCCCGAGAGAGCAGCCGCAGCGCCAGGGACCACCGTCCGGCCCGCTCGCAGGACCTCGGGCGCCGGGCGCGCCGCGAGGGGGCGACGAACTGCAGCGGAGGAGTAGGGAGGGGTGGAAGGAGGGAGGAAAGCAGGACGGAGGAAGGAGGGAGGAAGAAAGAGGAAGGAGGAATGAGGGAGGGGGGAGGCGGACGAGGAGGAGGAGGAGGCGGAGGCGGAGACCGATGCTAATCACCCGTGTGTGCGTGTGTGCGTGTGTGTGTGCAATGCAATGAGCTGGGGCGCATTCCTCAACGAACGCCCCCTACGCGTAGTCCCTCCTCTCGCCGCCGCCCGGGGGCAGAGGGAAAAAAAGAGGGAAGGAGGACGGAGGAAGGAGGAAGGACGAATGAGGGAGGAGGGAAGACGGAGGAATGAGGAAGGAGGAATGAGGAAGGAGGAGGAGGAAGCAGGGTGGAGGGTGGAGGAGGTGGAGGAGGGTGATCACTGCGTAGGGAAACAAGTCCCGAGCAGAGCAACACGCACCACGACCACGAACCACGACGACTCGAGGCGCGCAGACGATCCGCACCGAAGCACGGATTAGGGAAAGAGCCAGGGCTCACCGTGCAGGTTCAGTTAAACAGCACATCTTTGAGCGGTGCTGCAGCCTCCAATGAGCACAGGCCTCCCAGAGCATACGCCAGACAAGTCGGGTTTGCACCCTTATGCCTTGCTAGACTCTGGGCGCGTTTCGGCACTGCCACTGCCGCCGCCGCCCCAGCGTCAGGGCCACCGACTTGGGTGACGGCGACAGCGACAGTGGTGGTGGCCGACGCGTCCCAGAGCTAAGAAGTTGTAAGCACCGCGCCTCAGAGACGGACGGACGGACGGACAGCCAGGCGGCGTGCAATGCCTGGCACGCCAAGTGAGTGGTCACTGCGCAAGGGAAGCCAGTCCCGAGCAGAGCAACACGCACCACGACCACGTCGACGCCGACGACGACGAGACGAAGAAGACGAGGCGCGCAGACGATCCGCACCGAAGCCCGGATCAGGGAAAGGGCCCACCGTGCAGGTTCGTGCAGACAGCACACGCGAAGAGAGGGAGGAGGAGGAGGAGGAGGAGGAGGAGGAGGAGGAGGAGGCGGAGACTCACGCTACATCTGTGTGCGTGTGTGCGTGTGTGCATTCCAGTGGACTGGGGCGCATTCTTCAACGAGCGCCCCCTACGCGTCATCCCTCCGCTCGCCGCCGCCCGGGGGCGGAACGGGGTCCCGCGCGCCTGGCAGCGCCAGGGCCACGGCCGCCCAGTGCCGCTGCTCCACGGGGCCTCTCCAGGGCTGCGCTCCGCTGGGAGGTCCCAAGCGACCCTGGCCGTGGCGACGAGGGACTCGGGCGCGGCCCAACCGACCCCGAAGCGACCCCGCGACGTCGCCCTCGCCTTTCGAGCTTCCCTCTGGCCGCACACATGCGTCTTGGGGCCAGGCGAGGGGGGCGCCACGTCACGGAAGGGGACGGTTTGCCAGGGGTCGGTTGGGCCCCGCCCAAGTCGGGGTCGTGGCATATAATATAACGCATCTTCCCCCGCCGTGTGCCCGATGCGCACGGCGGTAGTGCCCGGAGTGCATTGGGGGGGGAGGGGCGTTACGTTATAGGGGGGAGGGGGGCCGGGGGCTATAATGCCCATTAGTTATGCCCCAAGCAATAAAGAAACACGCTCCTGGCAAATCCGTGGCTGTTAAAACGGTTTTCCCGGTAGGAAAAGACAAATTCCCGGAATCAAGCTCAGCGCACTAGATAATAAGCAGGCTGCTTCCCGGAAAGACAACAATTTCCTGGAGCTCCGTTTTAGCAACCACGGGTTTGCCAACCTTCGCCCGGCTTCTGATCAGACCCGGGTTAGTCAGCCCTTGCAGAATCCTGCAGATCCTGCAGGATCCTGCACCTAAGCCCGGGTCAATGCGAAGGATCCTGCAAGATCCTGCAGGATACTACACCCCAAACCTGGGTCACTGCGACCCTGTCCCTGCAGGATCCGGCAAGATCCGGCGCTCTGGCTGACTCCCGTTTGCATTGACCCCCATCTCAAGGTTCCCGACTCGGGAGAAGGACCGCCGCTCCGAGCCGGGCCGCGACGCGCGAAGCGCGATCGTCTTTGCGCCCCCGCGGGCTACGAGAGCAGCGCTTGTGGTGGGCGGTTTTTATTCGGCGTTTTGACAGTGGGCGGAGAGGGGGGTGGAGAGGGAGGGGATCTGGCTCCGGACTTCTGCCTGGTGCGACTGTTTGCGACAATGCGTCCTATGGGGGAGGGACTCCACCTGCTCGAAACAGGCGCCAAGAACAGCCAAGATCCACTCAAGGGGGGGAAAGGGGAGGTTTGGGGGCCCGCGCCGGTCGGAAAAACAATAAATGAAATAACGATCACTATGCACCGCGCCACGTTTAAACGCCTCGCTCCAGCGTGGTGCGCGTGGTGCTGTACATAAATGCTTGGGCTCTGCGGACACGTCAACGATGCACCGCACCATTCCTGTGTCGAAGATCGGCAGCGCCTCGGAAAACGTCAAGGCGGCACGGTGAACACATCTCGTCCGCGGACGGATGACCCCTGATGCAAGATGACGGTTGAGATCGAAAACTCTCGGGAAGATAACACACAGTAGAACCCCGCCGCTGTGAAAGATTGCGGAGAGGACGATCAAAGGACCTCGATGACGACGACAACGCCGACGAGCAAGCCTGGAAACCAATTAATCGTCCACCGAGGCGCTGCTGCATCACACTCTCGGTACGTACCGACCTCAAGAACTACGTCAAGATAGAACATCCCCCTAAGACCGTAATCGCCCTGGGCCTGCCAATCTCAGCAATAGGGATGAGCTCGAAGCTGGACAGCACGGGCAACCCTGGAAACACGAGCAGCTTGCGGAGTCGGGTCTGGGCTCGTGATGCGCGCGCGCGCGTAACAATCAAACTCTCGACATCGGCGCGTCTTTGCGTCGTTGTTCAAGATTAGTTTTGACCTCTCATGCGTTCTTGATGTTTGTGAAATACTTGTTGGTGCTGTTTGGGGGGGAACTCAGAAGCGTTTTTTGTGTGTTCGCATTGCTCTCAGGGTGTTTCAAGTTGTGTTTGAGGCTTTCATTGGGTTGCACTGGGGCCTCCAAGGCGTTTCGGGTGTTTGTGGCTGTGTGCTGAATGGTTGAAGCGTGCTGTGCTGCTTGCTGGCATGCAACAATAAAGAACAATACAGTCCATACGACAAAGCATACATATACTATGTGCACACAAGCGGCCTGAACTTAACATCCACTAAACGTTCGTGTTTATTGTAAGTTCTGGGGTACCGTTATGAAGGATCGTGGACACGCAACTTGTTTTTAGTTTCATGAAGACCTCCCAACAGTTTGCGTCCGCTGAATATGTTCAAGTGAAGTATACCTGGCAAACGTGCTTGGTAGGGACGGGCAATGTGGTATAAGACCTCTCACCCGATTTGATGTTGTATTTGTATGAGTGTTTCAATCGATGTTGGTTGTTGGTTTAATTGATTAGGAACCTCCGACGTTGTGTTGTGTTGTGTTGTTCCTTGACTGCCTCAAGCGATACGTGCGTTGTGGCTGATTTGTTTTGGGACCTCTCAATCGTTGTTGGTGCGTGTTTATTGCCTGTGTGCTTTAAACGATTGTTGGGCTTGGGTTGACTCGTTGGGGTACCTCTCAGGCGGGAGCCCCCGATTGACTGAGTCATTTGGGACCTCTCAAGCGGGAGGCTCTTCATCTTCACGTGTTTAGGGGGACCTCTCAGACGGGAGCCTCTTCATCTCTGGGTTTTTGGGGAACCTTTCAAGCGGGAGCCTCTTCCTCTTTGTGTGCGTGTGTTTCGGGAACCTCTCAAGCAGGAGCTTCCTCCTGCTTGTTTGTCCCCAATGCTCATGTTCTGTGTTCTCGTTTCGAAAAGAGCAAGCACTGCGGTCGCGTCTCCTTCTCCTCCTTCCCCTCCCCCCTCCTCCTCCCTCCTCCTGCCTCCTTCTGGGCTGCTCCCTGGGTGGTTGCGAACTGCGCCACTGTCGCCTGATTCGTGGGCTCCTGGGCGGCACGGCGGAGTCGGGGAGTACGCTGATCAGTTGAACCCTCGCAGCCCCCTGGGTGGCTGCGAGCTGTGCCACTGTCGCCACTTTCGCGGGCTCCTGGGAGCACGGCAGAGTCGGGGAGTAAACAAACCATTTGAGACCTCGTTGCTCCCTGGGTGGCTGCGAGCTGTGAAACTGTCGTCACATTCGTGGGCTCCTGGGAGGCACGGCGGAGTCGGGGAGTAAAAGGATCATTTGAGACCTCGCAGCTCCCTTGGTGGCTGCGAACTGTGAAACTGTCGCCACGTTCGTGGGCTCCTGGGAGGCACGGAGGAGTCGGGGAGTAAACGGATCATTTGAGACCTCGCAGCTCCCTGGGTGGCTGCGAACTGTGCAACTGTCGCCACTTTCGTGGGCTCCTGGGAGCACGGCGGAGTCGGGTAGTACGCTGATCATTTGAGACCTCGCAGCTGCTTGGGTGGCTGCGACCTGCGCCAGTCGAATGTGGGATCCTGGCTGGCGGCGTGTAGCCGAGCCTTGGAGGCTGATTCAAAGCGTCTTGCGCTTCTCTGGATCCACCCTGGGGCCAGAAGCATACGTCAGGTTCGTGTCGTGCCGACTTCGGCGTTGGTTTCTGACACCGCGGGGATCGTTCAACCTTGAACGATTGGCCGTTTCCGAAACGTCTAAGTCATTCCACATCGAACGATTCTGGGTCGCCCGCGGCGTTCAAAATCGAACGCCGCTGGCGGGGTGCCCGCCGGTCGACACGACACGGACCTACCATAGCCGAACGGAGAAGAGGGGTGCCCGAGCCTGGCTCCGCAGTACACGCTCCCCCCCGCCACGTTTATGTCGGGCGTGTCCCCCTACAAGGGGATTTTCGATGAAAAAATACATCCAAAATACCCCAGGAAGGTCAAAAGATACTCAAAAAATAGTCCCCAACTATTTTTGGAATGTGTTTAGATTATTGTTGGTGTATTTTTTATTTTTAATCGAAAATCTCCCTGTAGGGGGACAGGCCCGACTCAAGGCCACGCTCCTGGGGCCAACCTGCTGCGTCACGAAAACAGAGAGCCCCCCGTCCGGATCTGATCGGCAAGACCATTCGCTGGTTCTGCCTTCTCGGGAACGGGCGAACGCCAGAGTCGTGCGTGCTCCTCTGGGGAGCTCGCCGGTGCCCATTAAGGCATACGGCGTCGAGGCCGTGGCCTCGACATGACGATCTTCTAGTCAAACTTGTGAAACGTATGCCCGCTCATACGATGACCACCACTCTGTGCATTCTCGGGGACATGACTGAAGAATTTTTGGGCCACCTCCAGCCGCTTTTTGGCCGTCCTGTAGCCCCTCCTTGGACGCTCGCTGGACATGCCGTCTTGGGGGGTCGTTTGGGGCAGTCTGGGAGTAGTCTTAGGGGGCCTCCAGAGCCATCTTGTGAGTCTCTTTGGGCCGTCTGGGGGGCCTCCTGCGGCCATACCGGGGCCGTCTTGGACAACGCTGGTCCAGGGGCCCTCTTGGGACGTTTTGGGGCCCTGGCCCCTCGTTGGCCCGCGTGGTCGCCCCCCTCAGCTGCCGCCGCCGCCGCCGCCGCCCCGAGCGCGCGGCGCGATGGCCGCGTTGTACGTCACCGCGCTGGCCTCCAGACGCCTGCAGAGGGGGCATGGCGGCCGGGATGGTCGCTAGGGTTGGTCGTGTTCCAGCAGCCCCAGGTGCACGGTTTCCCCCGGGGCCGTAGGCGACCCGAGGAGGAGGAGGAGGAGGAGGAGGAGGAGGAGGAGGAGGAGGAGGAGGAGGAGCAGGAGGAGCAGGAGGAAGGAGGAGGGAGGAGGAAGGGTCGCCTAAGCCCTTCGGAGAAACCCTCCAGCCCCAGACGGCGGGCTTGGTCTGAATCTGCCGGAACGCCGCACCACCTGCTCGAACGGCCGGAAGGCGCGGAGGTGTAATTCCAGGGGGCTCGGCGGCCACTGCGTCGCTCCCTGGTTGCGTCCCTCCTTCCCCTCCTCTTCCTCCTCCTCCTCCTCCTCCTCCTCCTCCTCCTCCTCCTCCTCCTCCTGCGTCCCTTCTCCCCACTCTCCTCCTGCGAGCACCGCCATTCAAGGATGGTACCAGGGGGTCCTCCTTCGGCGAGGCCCAGGCCAAAGGCCTGGAGGATCTAGCGTTTTACGCTGGCTTGTGCTACAGATGAGCCTCCGCGCGCCATGCATAGCTTACGGCCTCGCCTCAGTGGAAAAAGCCCCCTGCGGGGAAGGATGGAGAAGGGTCGACGCCGAGGCACACGGAGAGACAAACAAAGGTGCGATCGGCAAGCGGCAAGGATCTGCCAGCGCTGCGGGCTCACAGGAACCTGATCGGACAAGAACGGCAATCGTCGACTTTGTCAATTGGCCTCGTAAGGATGATGGCGACGACAAGGCGGCGGATGACGAGGATCACAGCGCGGATGACGGGGAGGCCAGCAATGCAAGCAGGAGGACAACGCGTAGGAAGACAAGCACGAGGACGAGGAGGATGAGGTGGAGGAGGACGAGTACAAGGAGGAGCGAAGCGGCGGCGGAGGAGGAGGAGGAGGAGGAGGAGGAGGAAGAGGACGAGAGGAGAAGGACGACGAGGACGAAGGAGGACGGAAGGAGTCCGAGGAAGAGGACCTCGAAGAAGGTAGGGGTCCTCGTGATCTTTTGAAGCTACCCTGGGCTATTGGGGCCATCTGGAGCGCCGTTTGCGCTATGTTGCATTTTCGATTGACATTTGCGCAGCCACGGTCGACTGCGTGCGAACTACGGAATTGTGCATTCGAGAAGTTGCACGCAAACGGTGCAGCCCTCAAATGTCCAACCCTCACATTTGTATTGATTGTGTGCAATTTTCCGTGTTCGGTCGCGCACCGTTCACGTGCAGCCAGTCATCTTGGGTCGTTTTGGGCTACGTTGCCCGTCTTGGGGCCGCCTGGAGTCTCTATTGGTTCGTCTTGGATGCATCTTAAGCCGCGTTGGGGATCTCTGGGGCTGTCGTTGGTACCCAGAGCCAAGACGAAGTTGAGAACAAGTCGGCTTGTAGAGGGTGTCTCGAGCGCAACCGTCGTTTTGAAATATTTTGATGATATCATGATCCCTTCGAAGTCAATGTCTTGAGAATGTCTCGGGCGAGAACCGATTCATCAGATTTCGCTGGGTTTCGCCGCGAAGCGGCGGCGGAGGAGGAGGAGGAGGAGGAGGAGGAAGAGGAGGAGAGGAGAAGGACGACGAGGACGAAGGAGGACGGAAGGAGTCCGAGGAAGAGGACCTCGAAGAAGGTAGGGGTCCTCGTGATCTTTTGAGGCTACCCTGGGCTATTGGGGCCATCTGGAGCGCCGTTTGCGCTATGTTGCATTTTCGATTGACATTTGCGTAGCTACGGTCGATTGCGTGCGAACTACGGAATTGTGCAATTCGAGAAGTTGCACGTAAACGGTGCAGCCCTCAAATGTCCAACCCTCACATTTGTATTGATTGTGTGCAATTTTCCGTGTTCGGTCGCGCACCGTTCACGTGCAGCCGGTCATCTTGGGTCGTTTTGGGCTACGTTGCCCGTCTTGGGGCCGCCTGGAGTCTCTATTGGGTCGTCTTGGATGCATCTTAAGCCGCGTTGGGGATCTCTGGGGCTGTCGTTGGTACCCAGAGCCAAGACGAAGTTGAGAACAAGTCGGCTTGTAGAGGGTGTCTCGAGCGCAACCGTCGTTTTGAAATGTTTTGATGATCTCATGATCCCTTCGAAATCAATGTCTTGAGAATGTCTCGGGCGAGAACCTATTCATCAGATTTCGCTGGATTTCGCGGGTGATCTCAACGTCTTGTTCTTTCGAGGATGCCTCGAACGAGAGCCTCGTTTTCAACAGCCATTTCTGAGTACTCGAGCGATTTCGAGAGCGATCGCAGCGTCTCATGGTTTCGAGGCTGCCTCCAGCGAGAACCTCGTTTTCAAGATAAAACGTCTCAAACAGAACTCCTTCAACATGTCAGTTATTCGCGGATGTCTCGAGAGAAACGCAGATGTCGGTGGGGATCCACCGAGCAGTCGATAATTTGCAGCGGCGAACCCGTTGTCCCTCGCGTCAAAATTCTCGATGTACTCCTTACTCAACTTTCTCTAATTAACTTCCATCACCTGCTCATTTCGAGAAGGCGATTCCCGTGATCCGCCACGACTGAATATAAGTGCACCCCGAACGGTATTACACATTCAGCCAGAACGTCCAACTCGCTTCTCCGTCGTTCCTCCAGGACGTTGCCCATCATCCGCCCACGCTGAACCATTCGCTGCCTGTTTATAAAGCTACGGCTTCAGCCACAACGTTCAACTCGCTTCTCGTTCCTCGAAGACGCTTCGCGTCATCAACCAATGCTGAACCGTTTGCGGCCCGGACGGTATTTATGTTGATACTTTCGGTAAGGTTGCATATTCAACCAAAACGTCTACGACGACGACGACGACGACGACGACGGTCACGCACAACGACGTTGCCAGCACCCTCGACGACGTGTGCGACGGCAACGCGGACTAGGATCGGTGGTCAAAACCAGCCCACCCCAGATCTCAACACCCAAGGGGCCCAAGGACACACAAACAAATACACACAAATAACAGGATCCCCCATAACTTTTCCCATATTTTCTGGGGTTCTGTCTCCCCCCCACTTCCCACAGTTTCCCATCTTTTCCTGGAAATCGGCGATTCATTGTGTCTGTGTGTTTTCTTTCCCTCCTGAAACACCCACAGGGGCGCCTTCTGCCCAGAGAGCCTCGGGCGGAGAGCCCGGGCGTGGCCACGAGGGCGCAACCGAGAGACCCCAAGGGCCCCGAGCGCATGTCCAGAAGCGGCGATCCTCGGGCCTCGATCCTCGGACCCTGGGGATCCCACGACGACGCTGACGACGACGACGACGACGCCGACGACCGCGCACGACGGACCCCAGCCCTCGACGCCTACGACGACGCCGACGACCGCGCACGACGCCTGCGACAGCGCCGACGACGCCCGCGACGACGCCGGCGACCTCCCACGACGGGCGCGGCCCTCGACGCCCGCGACGGCGCGCCCGACGACGGCGGCCCCCCCGGCCTCTGCCGCCGCTTCTGGAGCCTCCAGGTCTCGAGCCTCGAGCCTCGAAGCCTCGATCCTCAAGCCGCCGCTTCTGGAGCCTCCAGATCGCGAGCCTCGAGCCTCGAGTCCTCGATCCTCGGGCCGCCGCCTCTGGAGCCTCCAGATCTCGATCCTCGAGCCTCGAGTCCTCGAACCGTTCGGCCCTCGAACCGTTCGGCGGTGAGCGAGAGGGGGAAGTGAGAAGGCGGAGGCCCTTGAAAAAGGCGGCGGGGCTTCTCAGAAGACGTGTGGCCTTCTGAGAGATTTTCTGCGCCTTCGGGGACGGCTTAGGAAACTTCTCAGAAGGCCGGGGGACTTCCAAGCCTTCTGAGGAGGCCCACCCCTTCTCACTTCCCCCCAAGCTCGCTGCCGAACCTTGAACAGTCGGTTCTCGATCGTCGATCGACGTCGACCACGCGTCACGCCGACGACGAGGGCCGCGACACTGGGTGGCAACATCCCCCGCCAAGCATCGATTCTCCTGAACCGATGGAAGGCGGGGCAGGGTTCGGATTTCCCCGCGCTTTCGACGAACTTCCGGACCCCACCCCCGCCGCCCATCCATCGAGTGGCCGAGCGAGGGTAGGGCTCGGATGCCGCTTCCGAGGTACGCCGCTGGCTGGACACCTGAGGCAGGGCTCGGATTTCGCCGCGTCTTCGACGAACTTGCGGACACCACCCCCGCCGCCCATCCATCGAGTGGCCGAGCGAGGGTAGGGCTCGGATGCCGCTTCCGAGGTACGCCGCTGGCCGGACACCTGGGGCAGGACTCGGATTTCGCCGCGCTTTCGACGAACTTCCGGACCCCACCCCCGCCGCCCATCCATCGTGTGGCTCTGGACGCCCGAAATGGGTACGGAAAAAATGGGTACAATGCCCAACAACAAATGTTGTCCTCAAGCAACAGCGGCCGCTCTTGGGCAGGCGGCCTTCTGTCTCGAATGGACACAGACCGCGGCGGCGTGGACAGCGAGCCCTGTTCAAAATGAACAAGATCCGCTGTTGGGCATTGTGCCCATTCTTTCCGTGCCCATTTCTTTCGTGCAGAGTGGCCAAGCGAGGGTGGGCTTCGGCTGCCGCTGCCGAGGCACGCCGCTGGCCGGAGACGCCTGGCGCGCATCTCGGAGAGCAGGCTCTCGGCGCAGGCGCCGTCGGCGCCTCGCGGGCGCTCGCCGGCGGGGCGGCCGCAGCGATGACGACGACGAGCCCCAAACATATAGAACCTCCGTCCCCGACAACGACGCCGACGAGGACGACGGCGAGGATCTCTGGGAGTGTTAAGCTATCCCTGGGAGCATATGGAGGCCTCGGGTAGCCTGGAGAAGCCTGGTGAAGCTTGTGGCAGCCTCGGGAGCCCAGGGAACCCTGGGGTCAGTCCCTATCAGCGATGAATGGGCGATTAGGGATCGGTGCGCTGCCCCCTGAGCCTGTCTCTCCAAACGTTGCGCTTAGGTTTTCGGGATACAACTCGATTCTCCAGCGGCCGTTGGGGACGCGATAGACGATGCCTGTCGCCGACAGAGCAGCGATGGGCCCCAGAGAACAAAGCCGCACGCTCCTGGGCGGGAGGGGGGGGCAACAAGTCCCTATCGGCGATGAATGGGCGATTTGGAGAAACCAAAAATAACCGATACCGCTACTCCCCGGACCTCTCCGGGGGTGCTTTCTGGCCAGGATCTCGACGCGAATCCAGCGGTGGCGACGAGGGCTCCCGAGGAGGCCCCAAAAAGGGGAAACGAGAAGAGGGTATAGAGCTATGGGTACCTTGTCCTCCTCTGACGAGTGGGGGTCGATGCGCTCCCATTTGCATCTGGCACCCAGAACTCGTCCGTCCTTGGGCCAACTGGCCTCGACGTAGCGCGGCCCTGCGCTGATGAGGACTTACCTTCACCAGGAAGGAATACTCGACGAGAGTCGCCGCATGGTATTGTTGTGTAGGCTTCTGTGCCACGTGTCACGTGGCACCTGGGCTTTCGGGTCACAGCTCGACTCTCCGGCGGCCGTGGGGGGCGTTGCGGCACGCCCGCGGCGCGCTCGGCGAGGCGCAGCTCCTGGAGGGGCCCCCCGGGCTGGACCGCGGAGAGCCGACGCAAACCCTCGTGACCCACAAGGGGGTCCAGCTGAAAGGGAGCGGTGCAATAGAGACTTGGGGCAGTTGCATTGCACGTGCCGTGCGCCAGAGAATTGTGTATTGCACTGTATTGCAACTAATGCACTGCACGCGAAAATCCAGCAATACACTTGCGCCCTGGAATGTACTGCACACCCCAAGTCGATTGCAACGCCACAACTCTATTGCACCAGATCTATTGCACCACCTCCTTTTCGCTGGACCTCCTTTTGGGCTGACCAAAACAAAAAAACTCATAAAACCTCAAGCCTCGAACCCAAAACTTCCCCCCTCTGAGGTCGCCCGCGAGAGCTTCCTCGGGCCCCCTCCCCCTGGCGGCCCGGCCTAGCAGCACGCCGAACGTGGCGGCGGAGGGCTCCACCGCGCTGGCCCGCATGTGCTCGAGCACGCCGGTCGCCTCTGGCGCCGGGCTCCCCGGAGAGACGCCACAGTCGGTGGGACGTAAAGGAAGGTGGGGCAGGGGCAGGGGTGGGATTCGAGGAGCATCGCTCCAAATGCCCCCCCCCCCCTCCTCGGGAAGAAGGAGAAGTGAGTGTCCAGGCCGATCGCTCCCTGAGCCCAGCTTGGGGTAACCTCCCCCCTCCGCGAGCCCCCGACGCAGCTGCAAAACCTCCTGGGCGGCGCGGCGCGCCGCCGCCTGGGCGCCCGGCATCCGGAGAAGAGAAGCGACCCACGCCTCCGTGGCTCCGGACGCGGCCGCGCTGGCGGCGGCTGCTGCGATGGCGGCGTCGGCGAGGCGAGGGCGAAGCCTTCTCCCGCGCCTCGCCGCCGCCGCCGCCGCCGCCCACGGCCGCGGAAGGGGCACGGGGGGGGGACGGGGGGGAGGCAATGCCATGGGGCCCAGCTGCCGTGGGCGATCGGCCGCGCAGCTTCAGGACCCTGCTGCAGCCGCCGTGCCGCCAGGAGGGGCGCGCAGTGCGGAACGGAGGGGCTCTTCTGGCCAGGGCGGGCCCTGGCCCCGTCCCACCTCCCGCCCTGTTGCTGCTGGTCGCCGTCGCGGCGGTGAGGGTGTAGCTGCAGGTCGTGCGGGTCGTGCTGCTGCTGGTCGGTGTCGCGGTGGTGCTGGTGTTGTCGCTGGTCCTGCCAGTGGTGTTGCTGCTGGTCCCCGTGGTGCTGGGGCCGTCGTTGCCCGAAAACCCGGGCCCCTCCTCAGCCTGAGGCGGTCTCTATTTCCGAGGAGGAGGAGGAGGAGGAGGAGAAGGAGGAGGAGGAGGAGGAGGAGGAGGAGGAGGAGGAGGAGGAGGACGAGGAGGAGGAGGTGGAGGACGAGGGCGCACGAGAGCGACGACGACGAGGGCGGCCTCGCGCGGCGGCCTCCGGAGCCCCAGGAGGCGGCGGCGGCCTCCGCTAGGTTCGGGGGGCCACGGGCGGGGCCGAAGGCACATCGCCCCGGACGGCTCCTCCTGAAGAGGGAAGGGCCCGCCTCGGCCTGGGTTCGCCACCTGGCCCCGCTTGGGGGCGAAGCCTCAGGCTCAGGTCGGGCATGTCCTCCTACAGGCGGGTTTGGGACGAACCGTAAATACTCAAAACGTATCCCCAAAGTGTCAACATAATTATATAAAAGACAGACCCAGACTTTTGTTTAACTATTTTTGAATACTCCTCCTGTAGAGGGACACGCCCGACTTAAGGCGAAGCCCCCTCCACGCACACTCGGCGGGAGAGGGAGGGGGGCGTGAGGAGTCTCCCCCCCTCCTCCAGGACACGAGGCATCCAGGACCGAGGATCGAGGACGGCGATTCGGGGCAGGCCCGACTGGACACCTCGTCTGCCTTCCTGCCCAGGAACCCGCCGCGGCGGCTTCAGCCAGACGGGGGGCGCTGATGCGAGGTGGGGATTGACCCATATTACCGCCTGCCTGGGAACCGACGCCCTGGTGCCCCAGCAGGCGGTGGATATGGGCATATTCTGGCCCCTGGGGGCCCGAACATATCCATGTCCACCGCCCGTCGAGATCTTGGAAATCGACCCTCCAGGCGGTGGTTATGCATGCATCCCCGCCTCGGAGCTGAAGAGTGGGTGGAGGTCGAGGGCAGGCGGGGCAGGCGGCAGCCGCGCGCACGCAAAGATAGGCTGGCCCGCGCCCGAGACAGCAACGTTCAAAGAGTTAGTTCGACCTCTCACGCCCGCGGCGCTGCCTCGCCTGGTGTCCACTGCGCCGAGCGCGGGGGCGGTTGCGCGAGCACACTGTCGTGGCCAACCCTTTGCCGGAACAAGGGTGGGGAAACCATGCTTCCTCTTCCTCGGCGACAGCTGGCGGCGCGCACAGAGGGGGCATGGGGGAGGGAGGGAGGCCACTCCTGAGCAGCCTCCCCCCCCTCTCCCCACCCCACCCCCTACTGTGCGCGGCCGAAGCAGCGCGAGGCAGGCGGTCAGATGCCCCCGTGGCTGCCCCCCGCGCGCTGCCCAGCCCCCGGGGCTGCGACTGCTCAGCTCAGTCGGGCGGGTGGTAACGGGGGGTGACTGAACTGGGGCGCCCGAATCCGCCGGCACCCTTGTGGGGCCACCAGGCTGTAGGACCGTGATTCGCAGTTTCCTGTACCAGTCGTAGGTTGTAGTTTCCAGTGTTACAGTTCTGCTTCTTGCTGGTTACTGTAACTAGTTGATTGACCGCGCGAGGGGGGGGAGGCCCAAACAAGATTTTTAGCGTCTCCTGGGCGCGTTGTCTGAATTGCTGGGGGGGCTCGAAATCTACACCCCTCACGCAGATCCGCGGGGTCAGGGTCCAAAAACACAGGGGATTTGCCACATTTCTGAAATTCGGTGCCACCCCTCACGCAGATCCGCGGGGTCAGGGTCCAAAAACACATGGGATTTGCCACATTTCTGAAATTCGGTGCCACCCCTCACGCAGATCCGCGGGGTCAGGGTCCAAAAACACATGGGATTTGCCACATTTCTGAAATTCGGTGCCACCCCTCACGCAGATCCGCGGGGTCAGGGTCCAAAAACACATGGGATTTGCCACATTTCTGAAATTCGGTGCCACCCCTCACGCAGATCCGCGGGGTCAGGGTCCAAAAACACATGGGATTTGCCACATTTCTGAAATTCGGTGCCACCCCTCACGCAGATCCGCGGGGTCAGGGTCCAAAAACACAGGGGATTTGCCACATTTCTGAAATTCGGTGCCACCCCTCACGCAGATCCGCGGGGTCAGGGTCCAAAAACACATGGGATTTGCTACATTTCTGAAATTCGGTGCCACCCCTCACGCAGATCCGCGGGGTCAGGGTCCAAAAACACAGGGGATTTGCCACATTATTTGCAATTCGATGCCACCCCTCACGCAGATCCGCGGAGTCAGGGTCCAAAAACACATGGGATTAGCCACATTTCTGAAATTCGGTGCCACCCCTCACGCAGATCCCCACCCCTCACGCAGATCCGCGGGGACAGGGCTCAAACACGCAGGATGTGCCCCATTTCTGAAATTCTGTGCCACCCCTCACGCAGATCCGCGGGGTCAGGGTTCAAAAAACACCAGGGATTTGCCACATTTCTGAAATTCGGTCCACCCCTCACGCAGATCCGCGGGGGCAGGGTCCAAAAACACATGGGATTTGCAACATTTCTGAAATTCGGCGCCACCCCTTACGCAGATCCGCGGGGTCAGGGTCCAAAAACACAAGGGATTTGCACATTTCTGAAATTCGGTGCCACCCTTCACGCACATCCATCGCAAGGCGTGGTAACCCAAACTGCGAGAACTCCCTCGGCCCTGTAATCGCAAGGTGTGGTAACCAAGCCCGTAAACCATACACGTCTTACCAATCGCCAGGTGTGCTAACCCCTCTTGTGATCAGTTGGTTTTGCTGACTGCGAATCGGCTTCGCATGAAGTTTCGATACTGCTTCACGACAGCGCCAAGGCCTCATGACTTAGCTCTTCCATGGCCCATTCTCCGAAAGAGGGGGCCGGCGGCAGGGGGCGAAGCCCTTACGGATTATCCGGGGTAACTCGGGTCCGGGGTAACTCGGGCTTGGATTCCCGAAAAACGAACCCGAGTTAGCCCTGACCCGGATTACCCCTGATGATTTGGGGCTCTGGACGCCCGAATTATCCGGGGTAGCTCGGGCCCGGGGTAACTCGGGTTCGGATTCCCGAAAAACGAACCCGAGTTAGCCCTGACCAGAATTACCCCTGATGATTCGGGGCTCTGATTGTTTTATTGTTTGACACGGGGTCTAGCGGGGATTGTACGAACTCAGATTCAAGATGAACAGCGGGGCATAAGCCGATGTAAACTGTACTACCCCAGGGGGGGGCCGAGAAACCCGAGGGGGTGGGGGGGGAATGAGGAGGAGGAGGAGGAGGAGGAGGAGGAGGAGGAGGAGGAGGAGGAGGAGGAGGAGGAGATGGAGGTGGAGCAAGCGGAGGAGTAGGAGTAGGAGTAGGAGTAGGAGTCAAGCTAGCCAGCTCGAGCGAGTCAAGCATGGCATGCCCAGTCCCACCCGCCCTCCCACAACATAAGAAGCAAAGCTGGCACAACTGGGGGCCGAAGTCACACCGGCCAGCCGGTTTGGTACAGCTGATGCGGCCGCGATGGCGGTTGCCGACGGGAACTGGCGAGCGCGTGTTGAATGCCGCGCACGCATTGCCAGACGAGTCGAGAATGGCCCGGTACACCGCAGGAAGCCAGAGGTGGCCGGAGGAAGCCCGACGGTCTGACAGGACACCCCAAAGCATTTTTGTGAAAAAGCATTGGGTTTTTGATGTTTTTATGTTGAAATGCTTGCAAACACACGGTGTTCGGTAGGATTCTGACATGAACGCGCGAGTGTGCTCTTTGTGGTATTTTTTGCACAGGATTCGCGGCCTGGGTGCATGACAGAGCATCGCGAGTGCACCGCGCGATGACGTGAAATCGCTGGATTCGACCGAATTCTTAAGATTCCTATGGTTTTCCTATGATTTCAGCAAGAGAGCCCGGGCGGGAAATTTGTACAATGTTTGTGAAAAAGCATTGGGTTTTTGATGTTTTTATGTTGAAATGCTTGCAAACACACGGTGTTCGGTAGGATTCTGACATGAACGCGCGCGTGTGCTCTTTGTGGTATTTTTTGCAATGGATTATCGCCGTGGACGACAGGACGTCCATGTCGAGAGGAAAAAATAAGAAAAATGTTGATTTTGTATTGTTTTTTACAGGTTAGGATGGGACCACCCGGATGCGGCCCCTAATGGCCGGCCTGAGGGGGGAGTAGGAGTATATTCTAATAAGGAATAAGGATCAAGCTAGCCAGCTCGAGCGAGTCAAGCATGGCATGCCCAGTCCCACCCGCCCTCCCACAACATAAAAAGCAAAGCTGGCACAACTGGGGGCCGAAGTCACACCGGCCAGCCGGTTTGGTACACCGCAGGAAGCCAGAGGTGGCCGGAGGAAGCCCGACGGTCTGACAGGACACCCCAAAGCATTTTTGTGAAAAAGCATTGGGTTTTTGATGTTTTTATGTTGAAATGCTTGCAAACACACGGTGTTCGGTAGGATTCTGACATGAACGCGCGAGTGTGCTCTTTGTGGTATTTTTTGCACAGGATTCGCGGCCTGGGTGCATGACAGAGCATCGCGAGTGCACCGCGCGATGACGTGAAATCGCTGGATTTGACAGAACTCTTAAGATTCCTATGGTTTTCCTATGATTTTAGCAAGAGAGCCCGGGCGGGAAATTTGTACAATTTTTGTGAAAAAGCATTGGGTTTTTGATGTTTTTATGTTGAAATGCTTGCAAACACACGGTGTTCGGTAGGATTCTGACATGAACGCGCGCGTGTGCTCTTTGTGATAGTTTTTTGCAATGGATTATCGCCGTGGACGACAGGACGTCCATGTCGAGAGGAAAAAATAAGAAAAATGTTGATTTTGTATTGTTTTTTACAGGTTAGGATGGGACCACCCGGATGCGGCCCCTATCGGCCGGCCTGAGGGGGGAGTAGGAGTATATTCTAATAAGGAATAAGGATAGGAGGAGTAGGAGTAGTAGGAGTCAAGCTAGCCAGCTCGAGCGAGTCAAGCATGGCATGCCCAGTCCCACCCGCCCTCCCACAACATAAGAAGCAAAGCTGGCACAACTGGGGGCCGAAGTCACACCGGCCAGCCGGTTTGGTACAGCTGATGCGGCCGCGATGGCGGTTGCCGACGGGAACTGGCGAGCGCGTGTTGAATGCCGCGCACGCATTGCCAGACGAGTCGAGAATGGCCCGGTACACCGCAGGAAGCCAGAGGTGGCCGGAGGAAGCCCGACGGTCTGACAGGACACCCCAAGGGGGCCCAGGAGGCCCCAAGAGGCAGGAGTAGTAGTACCAGTGGTAGTGGTGTTGGTAGTGGTAGTGGTAGTAGTAGTACCATGTCACCCCTTCGCGCGGGGTGTGCGCCGCGTCCCATTTCTGCCACGCATTTTGCGACGTGACGACAGCACGACCATGTTGACAAGAAAAATTATGCTAACGGAGTTCCCCACATAAAGAGATTAACGGTTTCGTGGGACCCATTTTCTTGATGCCCTCCTCGCTTTGGCGGGGCCCCGCTGGAAGGGGGGAGGGCTACGAAACCTGGCGAAGAGTAATGCTTTCCGCGACCCTCCTCGTTCAAGCGCGGCCTCTCTGGAGGAGTGGAGGGGGGACACGAAACCGTGTAAACAGCATGTTTTCCGATACCCTCCTCGCTCAGGCGGGGCCTCCCTGGAGGGGTGGGAGGGGCACGAAACCATGTAAATAGTATGGTTTTCGGATACCCTCCTCGCTCAGGCGGGGCCTCCCTGGAGGGGTGGGAGGGGCACGAAACCATGTAAATAGTATGGTTTTCGGATACCCTCCTCGCTCAGGCGGGGCCTCCCTGGAGAGGTGGGAGGGGCACGAAACCATGTAAATAGTATGGTTTTCGGATACCCTCCTCGCTCAGGCGGGGCCTCCCTGGAGGTGTGGGAGGGGCACGAAACCATGTAAATAGTATGGTTCTGCCTCCCTGGAGAGGTGGGATGGGGCACGAAACCATGTAAATAGTATGGTTTTCGGATACCCTCCTCGCTCAGGCGGGGCCTCCCTGCAGGGGTGGGAGGGGCACGAAACCATGTAAATAGTATGGTTTTCGGATACCCTCCTCGCTCAGGCGGGGCCTCCCTGGAGGGGTGGGAGGGGCACGAAACCATGTAAATAGTATGGTTTTCGGATACCCTCCTCGCTCAGGCGGGGCCTCCCTGGAGGGTGGGAGGGGCACGAAACCATGTAAATAGTATGGTTTTCCGATACCCTCCTCGCTCAGGCGGGGCCTCCCTGGAGGGTGGGAGGGGCACGAAACCATGTAAATAGTATGGTTTTCGGATACCCTCCTCGCTCAGGCGGGGCCTCCCTGGAGGGGTGGGAGGGGCACGAAACCATGTAAATAGTATGGTTTTCGGATACCCTCCTCGCTCAGGCGGGGCCTCCCTGGAGGGGTGGGAGGGGCACGAAACCATGTAAATAGTATGGTTTTCGGATACCCTCCTCGCTCAGGCGGGGCCATGTTGACAAGAAAAACAAAACTGTGTATTGTCTTTTGCAGATTAGAATGGGACGGATTGGATGGGCGGGCGCGGGGTGTGCGCCGCGTCCCATTCCTGCCATGCATTTTGCGACGTGGACGACAGGACGTCCATGCGACGGTGCCAATGACGGCGACGACTCTAGAAGGATTTGAGCATGCGCTCGCGGCGACGCGCGCGCATGTCGCCCGCGTGGTATTTTTTGCACAGGATTCGCGGCCTGGGTGCATGACAGAGCATCGCGAGTGCACCGCGCGATGATGTGAAATCGCTGGATTTGACCGAATTCTTAAGATTCCTATGGTTTTCCTATGACTTCAGCAAGAGAGCCCAGGCAGGAAATTTGTAGTTTTTTTGTGAAAAAGCATTTGATGTTTGATGTTTTTATGTTGAAATGCTTGCAAACACACGGTGTTCGGTAGGATTCTGACATGAACGCGCGCGTGTGCTCTTAGTGGTATTTTTTGCAATGGATTATCGCCGTGGACGATAGGACGTCCATGTCGAGAGGAAAAAATAAGAAAAATGTTGATGTTGTATTGTTTTTTACAGGTTAGGATGGGAACAACCGGATGTGGCCCCTATCTGCCGGCCTGAGGGGGGAGTAGGAGTATATTCTAATAAGGAATAAGGATAGGAGGAGGAGGAGGAGGAGGAGGAGGAGGAGGAGGAGGAGGAGGGAGGAGGAGGAGGAGGTGGAGCAGGCGGAGGAGGAGTAGGAGGAGGAGGAGGAGATCCTGCTCTCGTTTTCGAAAGGAACACCTATGCGGTGCAAAGCGCGGCGGCGACGAAGCGGCGACCGACGCACAGACCCAGACGATGGGCAGGGCGGCGACGAGGCGGCGTCGGGGCGGCGACGGCCACCGCATCGCCGCCAGGCCGACGCACAGGCCCCGTTCCGTGGAGCAGAGGTGAGAGCAGGACAGGGCAGGTGCAAGCAAGTGAGGACAAGTGCAAACGAGACAGAAGCGAGAAAACAAGGTAGAACAGGTGCCGACAAGAGAGAAGCGAGAGCAAGACAGAACAGGTGCGAGCACCGTTTGGGAAAGGCTCGAGAGTGGCAACTTGCTCCCCCCCCATGGGCTGCTGGAGAATCGAGCCCCACTGGGCGAGCGCCGCGCGCCGGGGGGCGGTGCCAGGGGCCGCCACGGGGGCCCAGCGCCGCTCCGGGAGATCCGCGCGGTCCTCGGGCAGCTTGCGTCTGTGTGGCGAATTCCCTTCGTCGAAGCGGCCCCGGAGCTCCCGGCCCCTTCCCCTGGAGGGAGCAGTACGGCCGTCCTCTATATGATGAATTCCCTTCGTCGAAATGGCCTGGGAGCTCCCGACCCCTTCCCTGCAGGGAGCAGTACGTCCGTCCCAGACCCAGAAGCCGAGGTCGAGGAGAGTCTCCAGGATCGAGCAGACCAGATACCAGATCGTCGGGGATCTCGGAATCGGGTGCTCCGTTTCCTTATTCTTCTTTTTCAGAATCTTTGTCTTCTTATTCGGCGGGGCGGCAATTCATGGGGGGGTGACTAATGGGGGCGCGGCTAACGAGATGAGGGGCGGAGGAAGAGGGGCGGGGGGGGGGGCGGTTGATGGTAGGGTTGATTTGTGAGGGGGGGGAGAAAGGTGCCCCGTTGGAGGCCGTGAGGGGCCACTTCTGGGCCCCAGGGAGCTCCGTAAGGGCCCCACAGGTCCCCTTTCTGCAGCCATCGCTGCCGCCTCCACCATTTACCGTAGGAGCTCGACCACAAAAACCTTCCACAAGAAGCCCCACCCTGAGACCCCAGGACGAATTCTTATTCGGCGTTTCGACATTGGGCAGAAGGGGGAGAGAGGGGGAGAGAGGGGGAGGTGGCTCTGGACCTCTGCTTCATGCGACTGCTTGCAACAGTGCTTCCTACGGGGGAGACTCCACCGGCTCGAAGCAGGCGCCAAAAACAGCCAAGATTTACTCCATGGGGGGAGGTGTTTCTTATTCGGCGTTTCGACTTTGTGCGGAAGGGGGGGAGGAGGGGGGGGGTATGGCTCAGGACCTCTGCTTAATGCGACTGTGAGTAACGTGTCCGATGGGGAAGGGACTCCACCTGCTCGAAACAGGCGCCATAAACAGCCAAGATCGACTCTATGGGGGGGGAGGGGGGGTGCGAGGGCCCGCGCCGATCGGCAACACAACGAAAAAGAGAACGATCACCTTCTTCTCATTGTTACTGTGCTTCGCCTCCTTCCTTCTTCGAGCTAGCGGGGGGGTCGCTGCGCCTGCGACCTGCCTGGCCCGGCCACGCACGCGCCGAGCAGCGCGTTGAGCGCGGGGGCGCTCACCTGGCAGCCAGGCGTGGAGAAGCGGCGCGGCAGGTGGGGGCGGGGGGGGGGGAAGGGGACCCAGATCTCCTCTCGCTTCTTCTCCAGGCAAGACATCTTGCAGACGGGATACATGGATTTATTCTGCCGATTTCTCGTTGCTGACCGCCGCTGTCTACGCGCAGCATTCTCGCATGGTTTATTACTCGGGTGAATTGTCGCGCGAATTCCCGCCGGATTCCGCATGGATGTTTCCCCCTTTCTGTCTGAATTCCATCTGATTTTACAATGCTTTGCAGTGGGGAAGGGGGCCCAAATCTCCGCCCGCCTCTTCTCGCTGTGACGACTCACGACGGGAGTTTTTGGCAGCTTTCGGCCGCCCGGGGCCCGCACTGGGCCTGGCCCCAAGACAGCCAGAGAACTGCCCAGGCTGGAGAACCAGTCCCGGACAAGGAGTCCAGATCTCCAACGATTGGAATGTTGCTCAATATCCTCAATCTCGGCTTCTGGGACATGTCACTGGGCCCCGGGGCCATCGAAAACGGGCCCCCTAAGGAAAACTGCACCCCTGGGAAGGGTCAGCAGCTGCTGAAGGGGCCCAGGGACACACACACACACACACACAAATACACACAAGATCTCGGATTCCCCACATTTTCTTATATTGTCATATCTGTTCTGGGTTTTCGTCTTCCCCCCCACTTCCCACATTTTCCCATATTCTCCAGGGGATCGACGATCAACTGTGTGTGTGTGTGTTTTCCCCCCCCCCCTCCGGTCCGTGGAGGCGAAGGCCCGCGCGACGCTCGAGGGCGCGAGGCAGGGCCGCATCGCACACTGGCAGAGGCTGGGCAGCCACAGGGTGCACAAGGAGGTCAGGGAGGCGGCAGCGATGCACCCCTTCGACGACGAGCAGCTGGCGCGCGCGGGGGAGGCCGGCCGCCTGGCGGGCAGGAGTGCCTCGTGGATCGGCCGCGCGGCGCAGATTGGCGAGGAGGCGCTGCTCGCGGCTGACGGAGCCGGGCCCCCTGGTCTGGCAGCAGCGAGGTGCTGCGAGGAGGGCCGCAAGCAGCGGCGGGAGAGGGCACCGGAGGTGCGAGGCCCATCCCGAGAGAGGCCAGAATCGAATCGATGAGCCGGGTCGGCGATCGAAGCGAATCGGGGATCGGCGGAAATCGGCAACCGAGTCGGGAAAAGTCGAATCGGCAGACATCGGCAAGCCGGTAGGCCTCCATTGAGGAATCGGATCCCAACAGGGTGGCAAGCTTCTACTGCCCCCAGTAGAACGACCAGAGGTCATTTCAGCATGCTTACCCGTACGTTCTGGTACGAGCTTGCGCTGCGCATGACAGCGGCGCGCCTTTAGACTCGCCGATTTCGGTACTACATCGCTGTACCAAGGGCAGGGGCCGAAATTTCTCGTTCGACCCCAAGTCGGAAATCCGAAATCGAATCGAATCGGAATCGGAATCCATCGAAGTCGAATCGAATCGAATCGAAGTGAGCCCTGCATCCTGCCGCGGGGCCCCCTGCCACCACTACGGGTCGGCGCTGATCGTGGAGGGCGTCGCTGTGTGGTCGTTCGCGGGGTGTTTGGACGTCGGCGAGCCTGTGATCGGCGGCATCGGCGCGACCTCGGGAGGCATTCGAAGCGACAATGGACGAGTCGCGGCGGCAGCAGCGGCGGCCCTCGCGGGGGCGGCCATGGCACTGGCAGCGGCGAGTGTCGAGGGCGACGACGGAGCCAGCGAGGCAGGCGCGGCCGAGGAGGCTGGCCAGCGCCACGCGGGGCAAGAGTCGCCACCACCGCCGCCACCGCCGCCGCCCACTGCGCAGCCGGCTTGTTGCAGCCGCCCCATGCACAAGTCGCACAAGCTGTGGCAGGCTGGAGGCGCGGCGTTCTGCTCGGTGTTGCAGCGCCTTTGCCAGGGGAACAACAAGTGACATAAACATAAAAACTCGGAGGTCCGCGCGGATTTCTCGGATCGGCGCTGGGCCCCCCCGGCGGCGAATCCGGCGCCGCCCCTGGCGCGCTCCGCGCGCCAGGGAGGGGGGCCCAGCGCCGATCCGAAAAATCCGCGCGGACCTCCGAGTTTTTATGTTTATGCCACTTTTTGTTCCCCTATTTGCGCTCGGCGCCAGGACGCCTGGGCTCGTCGCCGCGTGCCCTGGAGGACCGCGTGGAGACCGAGCGAGGGCGGCGAGGGAACGCCCCAAGCGGGGTGAGCACCCGACCAGGAGCGCACACCTCGGCGCACCCAAGCCTTCGGCGCGCGCGGGTGAGCACGGGCACAGCCTACAGTCAAAACGTTTATTAAGGACGGGTGGTAAGGACGCAAGACCCTTGGAGGCCGAAGTTGGATTTTTCGGGCCGGGGGGCGGCCAGTGAAAACGGCGAAGGACGGGCCGCAGAGGCAAGGACTCAAGGGTACCCTAGATGAAGGCACGCGTCCTTACTAGGCGCGTTGACTGTACAATATCGCCCCCCTGAAACGGAGCGAAGAGCGGGCGCCCTCGCCCTCCTCTCTTTGACGGGGGAGGCAGCCGGCGCCCCCGAGTGTGCACCGCCAGCGGGAGGCAAGGCCTTCCCGAGTCGCGAGCGGCCCGGGGACTGGCAGTGCGTGTGTGCCTGGCTCGCGCGGCGCGGGTGCGAGTGGCGCCGCGCTTCGCTGGGGGCCCCGGTGGCCTCGTCACTCCCTCTCGGTGCAAGGCCTGTTTGGGTCCGTGGAGTCGGATGCAGGAAGGGGTGTGAGCTCTCAAGCCTCCTCCTCCTCCTCCTCCTCCTCCTCCTCCTCCTCATCATCATCATCATCATCATCATCATCATCATCATCATCATCATCATCATCATCATCATCAACATCATCATCACCACCATCACCATCAACATCATCATCACCATCATCACCAGCATCACCATCACCGTCACCACAAACATCATCATCATCATAATCATCATCATCACCGTCATCATCATCATCACCATCACCATCACCGTCAACTCCATCATCAGCATCAGCATCGCCATGATCATCATCATCAGCAGCAGCAGCATCATCACTATCATTAGCATCATCATCTTCGTCATAATCATCATCAGCAGCATCATCAGCAGCATCAACACCATCACCGTCCCCGTCACCAGATCACCATCATCACCACCACCATCATCATGATGATGATGACGATGATGATGATCATCATCATGAACAGCAGCATAATCATCACCATCATCATTATCATCAGCATCATCGTCATCGTCACCACCATCGTCATCGTCATCGTCGTCGTCGTCGCCGTCGTCATCACCATCATCATCATCCTCATCATCATCATCCTCATTCTCATCATCATCACCACCAGCATCATCGCCACCACCAACACCATCACCATCACAATCATCATTATCATCATCATCATCAGCAGAGTCATGATATTCACCATCATCATCACCATCACAATCATCATCAGCATCATTAGCATCAACAATATCATCATCATCATCATCATCATCATCATCATCATCATCATCATCATCATCATCATCATCATCATCATCATCATCATCATCATCATCATCATCTTTTGCCTGCTCGCCGACCCTCCGCCTCCTTTCTTCCCGCAAATTTGCGACCACACTCGTCTGCTTGTATTCCTCCCAACTGCTTGAATTCCCCATTCGCTCAAACCCTGCTACCCCTCCTCCTCCTTCTCCTCCTCCTCCTCTTCCTCCTCCTCCTGCTCATTCTCCTCCTCATCCTCCTCCTCCCCGCCCCCTCCCCTCCTCCCTCATCCTACTGCTCATCATTATTTGCTAACGTGCTCTCCCGGCTATCTTGAATCAGATTTCGGATGGAACCTCCCTTACCACGAGATGACGTGGGCGACTCACCCCAAACCTTCACTGAACATGACAAGATGTCTTAGCCCGCATGGGCGCCTGGGGAGGGAGGGAAGGAGCGGGGGGTCACCTGCACAGCCATCTGCAACATCTCGCGCACCAGGGCCACCGCCATTTCCCACTGGGTCAACCAAGGATGCAATCAAACGAGAGACCAGGACAAGCAGGCGGAGCAAGAATACAGCAGATGATGCGAAGGAGGGCGGCGTTCAGCGGAACTGGGAGGAAACCGCGCAGGACCACGGAGAGCCTTCTACTTCAGTGTTCTGGGGTGCGGTTTCCAGCCGTCTTGAGCCGCCCTGGGCATGTTCGAGCTGCTGCCCCTGGGCACTCCGGGGCCCCTGTCGTCGCTTCTGCTGTGGCCCCTCTCCCCCTCAGAGCTGTTTGGGGCAGCCGCAGGGGGTGTCGGGAATGCCTGTGGCAACAGGAGCGACAGAAAGGGAAGGAGCTGGGGGTGAATCCGTGAGTGTGCCCAGGCATATGACGGATGGGGCCCAACGCATCAAATTGGGCGGCAGGGCGGCAGAGGTGATCCGCAAGCAGCCGCCTGGAAATGAAGCATCGTAGGTTGACCGCTCGTTCGTAGGCGTCGTCATATCGAGAAACTCGTTTCGTCGGCGGCTGGGAAGGGGTCGTCTGCGCTGGCGGATGAAGCTAACATATCGAAAAACACGGAGTGCCTATGCAAAACACATTGTGCAATATGCTGGCGAGACAGAAAAACAGTACGCGCGGTGTCAAACCCAATATACTGGACCATGTGATTGATGACTTAAGGTGGCTGGCAGTCATCTTACGGGGACGAAGAGGAAAGAAAGGAACGCGGACAAAGAGGAGGAGCGGCTGGAGCAACAAAGAAAAAGGGAATAAGAGGCGGTGCAAAGAAGACGAGGATAATGAGGATGCGAAAATTCGTAAAAAGTCATCGGTAACTACACGCTCCTCTGGATAGCAAAACCAAATCCCTGAAAATGCGCCAAGCACTAAACGGTAACCAAAGTGACCACACAATGACCAAAAAGTGACCATTCTGACACCCCTATCTATGACCCCCCCATTACCTCGCGGCCAAACTGCATTTTCTGTGAGTTTCCCGGGTGATCGTGCTGTTGCATGTGTCGGGGCACACCTGAGGATCGCGCTGCACCGAACTTGAGTACAATCGGTAATAGGCTGTAGAAGATCGGGATGAAGGTAAAATGATGAGAAATTCGTTGGCAAATGTCGGTTCGTACGATTATCCACAAATCATGGTAATTTTGCAATTTTGCCGGGAGGACTTGGAGAGGACAGTACCACGACATACCACCTGCACGAAGCAATCCTCAGAGCACCATCAGCGAAACGGACGTAAGGGAATCGGCAAGCCGCCAGACCGTTCTCGCCCGCTCCTCCCAGGTGAGACGAAGACGTCGGCGAGGACGGAGGAGCAGGAAAGGCAAGGCAAGCGATACCACAACCAGCTGGTGATAATAAGAGCCTATATCCCTAGCATGCCGGAGCGCGTTTCTTTATTCTCGGCGATCATGGGCATTGTAGGGGGGGGGAGGGGGCTGGGCGGGGGTATAATGTAACGCCTCCCCCCCCAGCCGTGTGCCCGATGCGCACGGCGGCAGTGCCCGGAGCGCACTGGGGGGGAGGGGTGTTCCGTTATGGGGGGGGGGAGGGGGGGGAGGGGGGGGGGAGGGGGCATAGTGCCCATTATGCCCAAAGCAATAGAGAAACACGCTCCAGCCAGCTGGTGATAATAAGAACCCAAGTCCCTGGCATGCTGGTAGGCGGCCAGAGCGGAAAGGGCTGGGAGACACACAGAGGCATTAGAGTTAGCCGCACGCTCTCCAACGGGGAGTCCGGGCAGCTCCTCGGAAGCCGCCCGCGCCCGGACGGGCACAACCACGTCGGGGTGTACCCTCTCCGACATGCCAGCTGCAGTGCTGGTAGTAATCAAGCGGGATGTTCGCCAGATGCTCTGAAATGCATGCCTTTACCATCAATGTACCAGTCACATGGCTATGGGACAGACAGACAGTCACAAGGATGGCAGCTACAGAGACCAGGAATATGGGAATTGTGCCACAGTAGACGCAGAGGGGAAAAAGAAGGAAGGGTAGGAAGCGGATGGCCTGGAAGGCCGTCGTGGACGTTTGGCTGATATCAATAATCAGTCTATACATGTTGCAAACAGCGTGTCACTCAAGACGCACGCTCAAGAAAGCCTAGAACTAGGCGCGGGAGGAAACATTGGCTCCTCCTTTCTGGCTCTTCCTCGCAAACAGCTGCCATGGCGGTGCTGGGCTTCTTCACTCTGATGGCTTTGCATCCGTCAATATCGTGTGTCCGCGCACCCGTGCACGATCTGTGGGCATTGCCGTGATTGTGAAGAAACTCGAACCGCATACATGAATTCTGCAGTTTGACACCGGCACGCGCCATCTTACACGACCGTAGATTCTCGGCACCAAGCCTGTTTGCAGGGAGATCAAGCTGATCGACAACATGACAGACATTTCCCATAAAAAAGCGTCGTGGGAAACTGCTGCCAACACTCACAGAGGTTCGCGTAGGTTTTTTTGTTATAAATATTCGGGGCAATATCAGACGTCTGATTGGGAGGCGCACCGTCCAATAGAGGAAAGCAAGCGGCTGGCTCTCTTTTGTCAAATTGAACGCTTAGTTCTCGAAACGGTTGCCCAAACACCCTGACACTAGGGGCCTCCTAGATGGGGTCCGACCCTATCTGAGAGGCCTAGAGACTCCCCCGCTGCCAGCAATCACCAATGACAATCCGCGACCGCGCCCCCTGGCACAATGGCATGGTAGAGTGCCAACGAGCCGCCCCTCTCGCCTCTGCCTCGCCTGCATCGCCCCCCCCCCCCTCCCTCGCAGCAGACTAAACAAAGGACCCGCGCTCCTCGGACCACGATCCCCATCTTATAAGAAGCAATGAACGCACTCTGCCACAGCCGCGAAACATGTGCAGAAAACTATGGATCCGCGCCGCCCATGCCACGATCCACGATGAATTATGCACTCGGAATTTTCTCTGGTCCTCCTCCTCCTCTTCCTCCTCCTCCTCCTCCTTGTCCATCCTCCTCCTCCTCCTGCTCCCCCGTCCCCCCTCCCCCCTGGTCCTCATCCTCCTCTCCTCCTCTCACCCATTGTTCCCCTCCTCCTCCTCCTCCTCCTCCTCCTCCTCCTCCTCCTCCTCCTCCTTCCCCTGCCTTCCAGTCCTCCCCCTTAGGTGACAGATGACCACGGCCCTCTGGACGCTCCTAGCTCCTCCCCCCCGCACCCCCTGTCCTTCCTCCATAATTACCTAATCCCTCCCTGCTCCCGCCAGAGGGCCCCCTACACCGCCCGACCCCCCCAGAGCCACGGAGGCTGCGCGAAAACAGTCGAAGCCTCCGCCGAGGAGGGAAGCACGACACGAGGAGGTTGGGGGGGGAGGAGGAGGAGG